AAAAAAAAAAAAAAGAAGAAGAAGAAGAAGAAGAAAAAGAAGGCTTGGGCTTGTGAAAGGCTTTTAGGTCACGCCCTTAAACCCAGCAGGTTCCAATTAATTCACTGCCCTTTGCCATCAGTTTCTCAGCCAGAGCGCTATTTGACATTGTGGTCAAGAAAATTCTGTTAGGGAGTGAGTAGGCTGCCTTGTAGTTGTAACATTTAGGAGTATCACTGGCCTGCACCCACAAGATGCCAGTAAAACGCGTCGCGCATGCACAGAGTTGTAACCACCCAGAATGTCCCCAACACGCCCCTGCGGTTGAGAAGGAGCGAGGTTAAGCACCATCCCTAGTACCCAGGTGAAAATTTTTCTTCTGATGAAAACTTTTGAGAAATGTTACTCTCGCTAAACTTCAAAAGACTGGGGGACTCGAAGACGATTCAAAGTGCAGTTGTCCCACTTATTTAATTTCACCTAATGAGAGGTCAAGAGCAGAAAATAAGACATGAACGAAGGAAGTGGAGTCCGGGTTCTGTGTGGGCAACGCGGCCTTTATTCACCTGGGTTCCAGCCGGCTGTTTGAAAAAGAAGTCAGCCCGTGGCTTAAAGCGGGGGCAGGAGTTTAAGGGTTCACGGTGGGGTGGGGATTGGCGCACTCATTCCTTCCTGGGCAGGATGGTTCTATTCGATAAGGCCCACATTGGCCCTAACGCCTAAATGCACTCCCCCTCTTAAAAAAAAGCAAAGAAAAAAAGCAAGAGGACAGTTACGGCGGGGTAAGAGCATAAGCCGGTGACAGCCATTCCCTGAGCATGCGCAGCAGTGTAAGGGCGGAGACCGCGCCCCCTGCAGTCCGGCTCCCGCCACTGCAGACTCGCGGTCGTAGCCCCCTCCATCCTCCAGCTCCCGGGTCTGAGAGCTCCTAGTCTCTGGGTGACCTCCTACACTGCGTTTGGGTTTGGGACTCTTCTTTACCACCTCTTCCTAGTGTGCCTTACTGAATCTCCATCGATTCTGTCCTCTGTATTTATTGGGATCATGTTAGACTTGTACATAACTAAACATAGGAACAATGGACTTGTCTGCGGTGGTGTCTTTGCATTCGTGAACCTGGCCGCGTGTGTTTCCACCGAGTCAAGTCTTCATCTGTGGCCCTCCCTTCACAGAGTTCATTGAATTTCAAAGCTTTTTTTTTTTTTTTTTTTTTAGTTTGCTGAGTTTCTTCCTCAGTATTTTATTCCTTTTGTGGGCTGGGGTAAAAATGGTGCTATCATGGAGGGCTGCTGTGGGGCTCCAACAGGGTGATGTGTAAGTAGGGTAATGCCTGGCATACAGTAGGTGCCATAGAAATGCCTACTCTGATTCTCAGCCGTAGTCCCTTGCATTGCGTCTTTAACTGGTTATCCTTTGGGTGTGGGTGTCACATGTTCTGCCTCATTTTCTGCCCAGCTCCTGTTCAAGTGAAGCTGAGGAACAGAATTGGATCTCAGGACATCATTGTAACAAGAAAATGTGTATCTTAACCAGTTCATGTTGCTATTACAAAATACCACAGACTGAGTAATTTATAAAGAGGAGAAGGTATTTCACACAATGCAGGGGCCACTGGCAGGTTCGGTGTCTGGTGAAGGCTTGCTCTCTGCTTCCAGGTGGTGCCCTGCTGCCTCACCCTCCAGCGGGGACAAACACTGTCCACACATGGTAGAGGGGCAAAAAGGGACCTACCTACTTCGCTGGAGCCCTTTTATAAAGACACTAATCTCATTCATGAGAGCAGAATCCTCATGACTTACTCACCTCCTAGAGGACTCACCTCTTAACACATCACATTGGGTCTCAGGTTCCTACATAGGAATTTTGAGGGGACACATACACTCAAATCACAACAGCAGGGCACGCCGCTAACAGCCCCATCCCATCTCCCACTCCTTTTGTAGATGGCCTGTCCCCGTCATTTCTGTCCCCAGAAACACTGTTTTCTCCTCACCAGCCCATCTTCTCCAGAAACCAAAGACTGTTTTGTGTGAAAAGCCAGTCACTGGAAGCAAGAATGTAAGTTTTATTGCCTCATGCATTCTATCTGACTTCGAGAAAACGAAATTTAATATTCCTAGAAAAGAAAGTATTCTTGTGGGCAAGTCTGATAGTGCGATACAAAATTAATGTTTACTGCTTACTGATCAGAAACAGGCTGGTAGTTGCCATGTGCATCAGTGAACTGTCTGCAAACAAACTGCCCCCAAACTCAGTAGCTTAAAATAATCACTGTTTAATGTTGCTCATGGGTCTAAGGTCATGTGGGTTGTCTTGCTGGTCTAGACCAGCCTTGGCTAATCTCCAGGGCCTCATTCATGCTTCTGTGGCCAGCTGGAAGGTGAGCTAAAGACTGACTGGCCTAGGATGGCCTCCCTCCCGTGCCTGGGAGCTGGCAGCAGAGGCAGTGAATTTGACTGGAGTATGTGTCTCTCTCCAACAGGAGGCTAACCCGCGTTTATTCTCATTGTGTGAAGGAGTTCTGAGAGAGACCACAGTACACAGAACTTCTTGGGACCTCTGCTTGGTCTTGGCACAGAATCACTTTCCGCTATATTCTGTTGGCTAAAGGCAGCTTGGATTCTAGGGCAGGAAATTGACTTCTCCTCTTGACAGGTGGGACTGCAAAGTCACCTTGCAAAAGGCACGGATACAGGGAATCACGAAACATTAGGGTCACGATCAATCATACCTCCATACCAAGATGAGAACAGTTTAGAATTGATTTCCTTTCAGCAAAGCTTGATTCATCTCACTAGTAGCCCATGTGTGGACTAGTTCAGGGGAAAGTTCCACAGATGGTCAGCCTCACCCATCCTGATTCACATCTGAAGTGCATTTCTTGACACTGAGCCCAAAGATGTGTCTGTCTGAGAGTGTGATTCTCTGCACCAGCTGCAGGAATGATCTGTTTCTCTCTCTGTCCTGGTTTTTGAGAGCAGCTCTTTGTTTTGGTGGAGTTTTTCCCAATAGATTTACCAAGACTCTGAGGACAGTTCCCAGCTAGTGGCTGAATAAATATTTGTTGACTTATCGATTCAATCAATCACAGGCTAATTAACTCCTAGCCCTGTTAGAAGCAATTGAAAATGTCACCTGTCGGAAATGTCAGGAGGCAGAGAGACCTTGGAAATAATCCAGTTGTCTCTCTTCCTCCTGGTTTCTCCACCTTTAACCACACTGAGTTGGGACTGTGGACTCCTGATAGTTGCACAGGGACAGAGTTTCTCTGCCACTGTTTCCTGTCTTCTCTCTGTAGAGAGGCACTGAGCCAGACTGAGGAGCGGGTGGAGGTTGCACACCTGTGGCCCACCCCAACCTCATCCCCCCCTTCCCTGCAGCCAGCTGCTCTCCTCTGGGCCACACAGACCCAGTGCCTAGGGTGAGAAAGTGGGAAGAAAGAAAGGAATGGCCCAATCCGGGGAGAGAGAAGAATACTCACAGAAGATAGGGGAAAGAAAAAGAAAAGATTTCCAAAAAAAACATCAAGAACAGGGTTTGAACACAAGCATGATGTTAACTATAGGTACTTATGACAAAGCTTGCTACGTACACTAATCAGAAGTCAGTAATAACTACCATGCTTACAAATCTGTGTGTTTTACTTGATCACATTAGACATTCTTCCTATATTTGGTGTTCCTTTACACAAGTAAAATGTCATAATAATGTGTTTAAAAAGATTCTAGAATGATCCAATTGGACAAAAAACGAAAATATATATGTATACACACATATATGTAAGACTTTTACATATTTTGGTGTAAGTGTATCCACGTGTTATATATGTAAATTTATATATGATATGTATAACTATTTAAAATAAAAGGTATATATCCACTATAAATATCTTTCTATCTCATGTAGCTAAGAATACAGATGTTTACATTTTTACTGAGGTGTCACATACACAAGGATACATAAGAATGGAATGACAACTGTCACCACACCTCTCTCCCTCAGCCACCCAGGGTGGGGCCAGTCCTCTCCTGCTTCTCATTTTCCTTTCTATACTTTTTCACAGTTCATTTGTAAATTTTAAGGCTATTCTTCCTGATTTTCCTACCCCATTATCCCCAGTTTAAATTGCAAATTCAGGTGACTTTTTATATTAATAACCTCTCTGAAGAAAAGTCCTCCAGGGTGTCCTGCCAGAGGATATGGCCTCCAACCCCATTAAAAATCACATCTAGTCATAACGTTCAGCTGCTGAGGACCTCCGGGGCGGAGCCTTCCCTGGTCTGGGACCCACGTCGACTCCTCCCCCACCCTGTCTCCCACACATGGAGTGGAGTTGGTGGCAGCATCTTCCCTGCTCCTCCAGGGACGTGGTGGCAAAGGCAGCATCTACGTGTGGGCATCCGGAGATGGGGGCAGCTACGATGACTGCAACTGTGATGGCTACGCCTCTAGCATGTGGACCATCTCCATCAACTCAGCCATCAACGACGGCAGGACCGCCTTGTACGACGAGAGCTGCTCCTCCACCCTGGCCTCCACCTTCAGCAATGGGAGGAAAAGGAACCCTGAGGCCGGCGTGGTGAGTGTGGCCATTTTCTGTCCTCATTCGCTGGTGGCCACTGCCCCTCTGTGATGGGATGGGACACTGGAGACTCCGACACTGCGCCCCTCCCTTCCCTCAGAGTTAGCCAGGTTCTGGGGGTGTAAACCATCTCTCCACGCCCAATCATGCTTTCTTACAAAGTTGAGACCTGTCATTTGCAAGTTGGAAGCAGGAATAGCCATGACTCCTTTCCGCTCACTTTCTGTATATTTTCTCATTTACTGTTTTGGATTACAAGTAATGCTGAAGTCTGGTTTATCAAGAAGTTTACCCATAACATCACTTACAAGAATAAGGAATTCATATAGTTATTATAACTAACTCACTGACACCACGACACCAAGAACCAGTCAATGTATTATAGGAATTAAAAAAACAGTATCTATGAATGGACTTTTCATAGAGGGGTCCATAAGCCCCCTAAATTTGGGCACATGTATTTTTCTCAAGAAAAAAGTTGTAATTTTTTATCTTTTTTAAATGAATCCATGATTTAAAAAACATAAATATAAATTTAGGCCATTTGTTGTTCGTTTCTGATCAAAAACTATCTTCCTTCCCTCCTTGGCAACGAGGTCAAATGGTGAATTTTCCAGGCCCCTTAGAAGTATGTCACCTGTAGGGCATAATGAACTTTTTTGGACCTTTTCTTCTCTCTGCTTCCTTACTCACATGTCAACCTGGAATGTATTATGTGGTTCAGTCGTCAGGTATGAACTGCGTCCTAACCAACCAGCCACCTCCCAGGGCTTCTCCAGAGAGGGAGGGTCAGGCACTCAGAAGAAAACGTTTTTTACCATCTACTGTTTTGACCCCAGATTCACATCTGGGCTCCCACTGTGGCAAGATGGCCAGGCTCCTGTGTAAAGGAGAGAAACCCTTTACCTACAAAAGATACAGACCCTAACAGCCTGTCCCTACCATGACCCCTCCTGGGTTCCCCCTTAGTCTTAGGGAGCAAGCAGAGGGAGCTTTTCCCCTTCGTGTCTTACAGGCTGTCTGTGCAGAAAGGGAAACAAGTAAAGCAGACAGGGCGGGTCAGGGAGGCCGCAGGCTGCTCTGTGTGTGAAGCTTCACTCCTGTCCCTAGAGACTCCCCTCCCTGGCGCAAGGGCCTCCCAGTGGTGGAACTTTGTCCTCAATCCTTACCCATGACTGTCTTTCTATTTGGGCTGAGGAAGGCCCTTGAGTTTCCTGTGAATAATGTAATTTTGCTCAACAGATGCCCTTAAACTTTCCTGATACTTTGTTCCTTTAAAATAAATAGACTCTCTTTAGGATCCCACAGTCGGAGGAAGAGGAAGAATTCCTGTGGTTCATACATGATTTTAAAGAAAACTCTGGCTCTCACAAACATTGAAAATGAGATTCCTCTCTCTGTGAAAGGTCTTTAAAACTCAGTTTATCAGTCTCCCTGCTATATTAAAGTGATGGAGTGATACCCACATGTCTCAGAATCACTCCACGGATTTGAGATGTAGAGAAATACTTCCTTTTACTAGCTTGTCTTTCTATGAGACTTTAGCTGAACGCTTCTATTCTTTCCTCCTTGGGAATGCCAGCCTTTCCTTCATGAAGGGCAAGAAATGCTGAGGCAGTGGCCCTTGGCCTTCCCACGGGCCAGTCCCAGAGCAACAAAACCACGGTGGTGACACTGACTTAGCACTTTCTACTTCATAGTGTCTCCTTTTAGGATTTAGGAAATAAAGTTCTCTCTAGTCCCTGTACAGAGAGGCTTCTTTGAGCAATCAACTTACTTAGTGGACACTGTAACTACAGCTTATTACATGTCCTTTTTACATGGGCTACTAGGAAGCTCAGATGAGATTTATGGCAAAAGAGACAAGTATATGAATGCAAAGTTTATCTTTATCTTCATTGTAATCTTCAGAACAAGGCACAGTTTAAATAAAAGAAATTACATAACCCCCTGCTCCACAGTGTTCAGAGGTTCCAAATAGTGTGACTTATTCACTCATTACTCAATATCTTCCCTTCCAGGCGACCACAGATTTATATGGCAACTGCACTCTGAGGCATTCTGGGACATCTGCGGCTGCTCCCGAGGCAGCGGGCGTGTTTGCACTGGCTTTGGAGGCTAAGTATGTTTATAGCTCTGGGCGCGGAGCCAACTCTGCAGTGTAGACCAACATGTGTCTCTCCACCCACACAGCAGGTGTCCACAGATGTGACAGCCTATGGACAGTCAAGGCCAAGGAACTCTGATGGGCATTTCTATGATACACATATGTGCGCACACACACGTGCGCGCGCGCACACACACACACACACACACACCATAAAACCATCCCTGGGAGAGCATAGGACTTCAACACCCAGCAGCACATACCAGCAACTTACTCAGATACTGAATAGGGCCACATAGATATTTCTTCATTCATAGAATCCACCCCTTTATCCTCTGTGTATCCCTTGACAATTTTACTCTAGTAACACAATTGGCCAAATGAAGGAAAATCTAATGACCAAGCTGAGTATCTAGCAAGGTATCTCGGAACATGTGAACAGGGTGTTCCTACTTGAGGTCTGTTAATTCACAAAGTAAATTCACTTTTTAACACTGAAACAAGGTGAGCAAAGTCACACAATGTAGACCAAGATATGGGCTTTCCTGGGAAACCTTCCAAGCTATAGGTAAGAGGAGACCATCCCTATGTTCTCACCATCCTGCAGAAGGGCCTCATCCTGTTACTGCTGGACACACCTTGGCGTGGTGCCTCAGTGGAGCACCTGTGACTGTAACTTCTCTTAGTGATGCCAGAGGCTGGCCTTATATTCAAGGAAAGGACATGTGGGCTTCAGACACAGTGCACGTGGTGTGAGTGTCAATGTCAGCTGGTATGGAGCTGTCAGAGATTGCAGCACCTGGCAACCTCTCAGAAGCTGGATTCAGGCCCCTGGGGAGGGGGAGTTGAGCTCCCCATCCCTGTCAGCAGTTGCTAGGCAACTGTAGCTTCTAGCATCAATGTCTAGGCAGCCCTGCTTGTCTCTCTCCACATGTGCAGTGTGTTTTCTAATTTGCAAAGGAGGCAGGTGTTGGCTGTAGAATAGGAAGGGACTTCAAAAGATTATCTAGTCTAACCTCTGTATTCAAAGAGAAAAGACATGATTATCCTCCTTTTACACATAAGACCCCAAATGGAGACTGTCTCCTTCCTTTGGACCAGTCTAAACTTTGATTTTTCTAACAAAAGTTGGGTGGAAAATTTAGGACACCAAGAGACAGACACTGACCAAAGATTAACTATTAATCTTTGAGACCTCTGCCCTATTGAAAATAGAAACCAAAATTTATTTACACATAATGTGCACTTCTAAAGAGGAAACTGTTCATCTCAGGCCTGAGTGGGCCCCAGAGTCTGAGCCAGTTTGCTCACTGCAGATGGGAGGAGACAGAGAGAAGCCTATCACCTACCGCTGAGCCTCACAGGGCCAGGGAGCGCTCCAAAAAAAGAAGGGTTTCTGGTCTCCATTCAACCCAGAAAGCAAAAGAGACTTTGGCTTGACTTAGTCTCCTGGGATTTTGGAAAGCAGAAGACCTCTTGTTCATGCCCATATGTATACAACAGGACAACTTGAATAAATCAGAGTGGTGGAGCAAGGCTGCTAGATCCCTGAGCAGATTCATGGCTCTGCCTCGATGATTCACCATTCTGCTAGCTCCTATGTACAAAAAAGGAATGCAGGCACCACTTAGCACACTCTGTTTTTGGAGTGATGGTCATGAATTTAATGTTCTTTGTTAACAAAAGAAGAAAAAACATAATACCTGGCAAGAGGTGGGTCAAGCCCATCACAGAAGCTAATCCTAAAATTCTTCAAAACACCAACCTCCTGGGCAGCACCTGTAGCTCAAAGGAGTAGGGTGCTGGCCCCATATGCCGGAGGTGGCAGGTTCAAACCGAGCCCCAGCCAAAAACTGAAAAAAAAAAAACACCAACCTCCTGAGGTTGGAAGCAGACCCTGAGATAAGATTTTGGTGCAAGTGATTTATTAAGGAAGGCCTCCCAGGAAAGACCCATAATGAGGCAGGGGAAGGGACTTAGGGATGGGTAAGAATCTTAGCAAGGGTGAATTTTAAGAGGAATTCTGACCTCAGAATAGGAGGTCCTATCCTGTAGGAGCTCTGGAGTACAAATTATGCCTCAGAGTTTTTCAACCTCAATCAAGGGAGCAGGGATATCACATTCTTCTGGTAGCTAGTCATTGACTAAAGGCCACTCTGGGGAAATAAATTCCAAGGCACCTCTGGCTTTCTGTCCCTATAGGCAAAGTGGCTCCAGTAGCTAAAAGTAAAAACCACTGGTCAGGATAAAATAGCCCCAAGAGAGAGCCTAGATGGAGGAGGAGGGAGAGGCCCTCCCGAGAATAGTCCCTACGGTTCATCTCCTTGTTGAGATAAGGCAACCAGGAGTCATCAGTGACAGGACAGCAGTCAAGGACTGTTTCCTACCCCAAGGTCCAAAAGGAAAACCCAAAGCACTCTGAATACAGTAGACAGATTACTCTGTCTAAATGTCTGAACATTAGGAGCTTAAAAGTAAGAAAATACGTATCTCCACCCCATGACTCCAAGGGAGGAAAAAAGAAAAAGGAAACTATTTCTCTCTTCTGGCCAGTTACTTTGTAGTTTAGTCTCATAAGGTGATTTTCTGCCCAGTGCTTGAAAATTTCCACTTGAGTCACAGAGGATATTGTTCACATCTCCCAGTGTGACCAATATTACAGAAATTAAAAACATTTCTTTGGTGGGGGTGATTGCCACCTTCAAATGTTTAGCTTTCTCTCATAGGACACAGAGCTTTCTGTGTGGTTCTAGAGAACTGAGCTAGGTCTGAGCAGTAGATTTCCTAAGGAGAAAATTGGGGGCTCAGGAGAATCCTCCAGAATAAAGTGAACCATGTGCTGGACTGGAACAACTTTTCCAAAACTGCCTTCCTTCCAGGGGATGGATTTTTAATGTAAACTCTTTGCTGAAGTATAACATATACAAAGAAAATCATTGGGTTATAGCTCCATAACATTTTCCCAAAATGACCAGACCCATGCAACCAGCACCCAAACCAAGAAACAGAGTGCTTCCTAAGTAGCAATAGGGAAATTTTTGTTCAACATTCTATCTGAGAGATTCCTCCATGTTGTGTATGTAGTTCCAGATCATTCGTTCTCATTATTGACTATCACTTCATTGTATGAATGGATGTTTGGATTGTTTTCACGCTGGGGCTATAACGAGTGACATTGCTATGAATGTTCTGTACATGTCTTTTAATAAACGTATGGATGCATTTCTCTTGGGCGCACACTAGGGAGTGGAAATGTCGAGTCATGGGTGCACATACGTACAGCTCTAGGGGATGCTGCCAAATAGTTTGGCAAAGTGGGGGTACCCACTGACCCTACCTCGAACAGTACTCGAGAGGGACACTTGCTCCACATCCTTGCCAAAAGTTGGTGCTGCTAGTCTTCTACATCTGAGCTCACTCTTAGGAGTGTGCAATGGGATCACATTACAGTTTTAACTTGCATTTCCCTCATAATTAGTGAAGCCGAGAGCATTGGGGAGTTTTCAAAAAGGTTGATTCCCAAATCCCACCAAGACTCACTATGTACAAATCCCTAGGGATGAGTAGCCCAGGAACCTGCCTTTGCAGTCCTTGTTCCTGGGGAATACTTAAGCAACCAGCCTGTCGCTGGTTGGGAACTGGGGTGCATGGACTACCAATAAGGCAATGGCTTTTTGTGAAAGTTGTGCAGAGGGTGGGTGGCTGGACGCCTTCTCTGATTAGATGTTGGTATTAGGTCAAGATTGACTTTGTCTACATGAAACAGGAAATCTAATAATAATAGGTAAACTACAACAACAAGGGTTTGTTGTTGTTGTTGTTGTTTTCTGTCATGTGAAAGATAATAAAGAGATAAGGACCCAGGTCTGGACTCGGGGTGCCAATGTCTCCTTCTAGCTCCTTCTAGCTTTCTGCTCTGCATTTTCATGTTCCGTAGATGTGCTGGAGCTCCAGGAATCATGATACATTTCAGGCAGGAAAAGGGTAAAAGCAAAGGGCAAAAAAGACCACCAGCTGAGTCAGCCATTTTTAGAGGCTTTCCAGGCAGGCCCACCCAGTGGCTTCTCTTATTTCTCATTGGCCAGAGCTGTCACTGCGCACCCAACACTGCAAGGGAAATGAAGTTTTATGGCAGAGACATTGTTGTTCTGAATAAAATTAGCCTTTTCTTAATAAGGAAGGGAAAAAGCTAGACGTGGAGGAAAGACAACTGCTAGTGTCTTCCAGCACCTAAGTGGGCAATCACTCACCTTCTCTGAATCTCTATCGTTTATCTGCAAAATACAAAAAGTTAGATCATCAATGAGGTTCAAATGACTTCCTGAAATATCACAGCTCTGCTTCAGAAATATTATTTCTTTAGAAGAGCTTATTATCTTAACTAGATATGTGGTCACTTTAAGGTTGAAAACCTTCATTTACATACTCTGAAATATTGTGACCAATACTTAGTGAAATAGTGTCTATTCCCTTCTAACTTTCTTTAATTTCTTTAATGAGATAGATCTTAGTTAATAATAAACTCCTTATTCAGTGTCCACCACTATTATTAAGTATTTTACATACATGATCTACTTTTATAACCTGCAACAAACCTCTAAGGCCTTATACACATTTTAAAGATATGAAGGCTGAAATTCAGGTTGCTAAAGTAATCTGTCCAAATTCACACAAATACATTTAAACCTCAGGGTTCCTGGGTTCCAATGCAGGGATCTTTCCTCAGCCTCGCTGTAGCCTCCATCTTGCCTGAGGAGCTCACTGCTCATTTTGGCCAGGGCCGCGGGCCACAGGGTATGAATGACTTGGCTCTTCTTCCTCAAATACGCTGCTCAAAATCAGTTTTAAATTTCTTTGATATGAGATTTCCACACCACAGAGACACCAGGGGGTCGTGTAACCTGTAGTTCTCCTGGCTGTTCGTAGGAGGTGGGCAAACAAAGGCAGTGGAGAAAACTCCCACTGGATTCACAAATACACGTTTTTTTCAGACTAGACATAATTCAGAGTGTAGAGAATAGACTCAGAATTTTACAGATGAAAGAAAACAAATGGACCTTTTACTACTGTAGTCATTTCTTATGGATGAAATGAAACAACTTACTCTGGTTCACCCACTTTACCTTGTTCAAATAGAAATCAGATCCAATAAATAAAGGGATTAAAAGTCTCCTGTTGGCTTCTAGAATTTACCATATGTTAGTAGAAGTCATGCCTCCAATCTTAAAACTGCAACATCTTCAAAACATTTTAGTTTTCAACTTCTCTAAAGATGCATTTGCTCGCCTTAAATTCCCTTTATGCCTTGATAATTAGGGGGAAAATGTTCATTGGATTCAGGGGAACCTGATGCTGTAAATGGAAGGATGTGCTCCGAAAGAGAACAGTGAGGGAAAGTCCTCATGAACAGGAGACACTGATCTGTCCTGTCGGAAGTCAGGTTTGTAGTCAGCCACTTCCTAAGAGATCCCAGCTGACCTCTACGTCAGTTTCTCACATTTCCTGATGCTAATTAAAAACATAGATATAGATACCCAAGCTCACCTCAAATCCAAAGCCAGAATCTCCAGGGGAGTGCCTGGGAAACTGCATTTTTCATAAGCACGCCCAGAACTGTTCAAGAAGTAAGGGAGACTCTGGGCGGCGCCTGTGGCTCAGTGAGTAGGGCACCAGCCCCACATATCAAGGATAGTGGGTTCAAACTCAGCCCCAGCCAAACTGCAACAAAAAAAATAGCCGGGTGTTGTGGCAGGCACCTATAGTCCCAGCTACTCCAGAAGCTGAGACAAGAGAATCACCTAAGTCCAAGGTTGCTGTGAGCTACGAAGCCACGGCACTCTACCGAGGATAACAAGGTGAGATTCTGTCTCTAAAAAAAATAAAATAAAATAAAAAAATAAGGGAAAAGAAGTAAGGGACACTCTTCTAGACTAGGTTCACTCAAGCTTGGCCACATGCTGAAAATACCAGACACTCAATGAGTCTGTGGAATCAGAACCTCTGTCACTATCTTAGACCGATGTTCCCAAACATCACTATGCAGAGTTACCTCAAATGTGAATTCTCAGGCCCATGACCTCCAAGATATTGACTTGGGAGAACCCCAGGAATCCACCTATGTCACTAGTATTCAAGTGGTTCTGACATGGGGGTTTGCGGACCACAGTGAGAACCCCCTGACTGGGATAACACGGAGCTCTACTGACGGCTCCCTCAGCAGCCTCAGCTCCCCCATCCTGACAGCCCTTCCGTTTTCAATACTGAGTTGTCCATCTGTCCCCTGAGGCTCATTGAGGGCAGGGACCCCCGTAGGACGCGCCCGGAATCAGCACAGTGCCTGGGTGTGGGAGGTGCACGATGCCATCCGTGGAATCACGTCATTGTGCGGATCCTTCTCACACGTCTGTGTCTCGTTTTCCTGACTATCATACGAAACATTCAAGAACAGGGGGCTTGGCGCCTGTAGCTTAGTGATTAGGGTGCCGGCCACATACGATGAAGCTGGAGGGTTCAAGCCCGGCCCGGGCCCGCCAAACAACAAAGACAACTGCAACCAAAAAATAGCTGGGTGTGTGATGGTCACCTGTAGTCCCAGCCCCTTGGCAGGCTGAGGCAAAAGAATTGCTCAAGCCCAAGAGTTTGAGGTTGCTGTGAGCTGCAATGCCACAGTGCTCTACCAAGGGTGACAAAATGAGACTGTCTCAAAAAAAAAAAAAAAAAACACTGAGAACAGGAAAGAACATGTCACATTGCTTGTCCAAGAGCTTCCAACACAGTGACCTTTATCACTTAGATTCTCTGTAAATTTTTTTTTATTATTTGATAACTAGCACCTGTGATTCTTGAGCTACTAAGTTGGAGTAAAGCTTAAAGCAGGTTGACCAAATAACTATTTTACACAATAGTATATTCTGTCAGTTCTGAAATTGCTCAGAAGGAGGAATTAGCAAGGACCCAGTTTTACTTTTAAAACATATGCAAATAGTTGGTCCAACAATGTCACAAGCTCAAATACATCGCGGTATGACTACACTTCCATTTACCACAGAAGTGAGGAGTTCCTTGTTCTGACACTTGCTCTCCTTCCCCCTCCCATCCTCTTCCCTCCCCTCCCCTCACTCCCAGACCCCATGAGAACCAACCTGTGGAGAGACATTTGAGGAAGTGCTTCTCCGGCATTGGGAAGCACAGCACATTTTCATGCCAAAAATGAGAAAGGAGAAACCTGCCAGCCTGCCCTCAGATCACTTGTCAACACTTCTAAAATTAATAAATACACAATCCCATCCCAGCAAAAACACGGAGCTTTTGGCCATAATCAGCATCAGGAACTTTCACACCATTCTCCCCAGTCCCCGGGGGACCATGTGTCCATGACATGTTCTGAATCTCCTCAAATAAGCATTGACCTTCCTTGGAACTTTCTCCTTAAAAGAAGGTCTACATTTCAAGACCATTAGAGCTCTTGACTCTGATTCAAATCTGCAAACCAATGAACTTTGCATGAGCTGAAATTGTATCAGATAAGTTATGCTGTTGCTATCTATCTTTTGAATTGTTTGGCTTCTAAAAAGAATCATAGTGCAGGGTTTGGCCAAGTTTCTGAGTAATAAGTTTTGCAGTACAGACCAGCACACACCCAATATCTCATGAAAGAATAGTTTCCCACATCACACACAGTGTACACGTTTGTTCTTTTTGGTTCTAGTCCATTCACTTTGTAACAATAGTGCCACCCATTAAATCTCTGGCTCTCAACTGTGGCTATCTGCTGGAATCATCTGCAAAGAGTCAGCAATTTCCAAGGCCTCAGTCTTATTCCCAGTGATTCTGATTACTTGGTCTGGGATGAGGGGTGAGCAGTGAGCTTTTAAACACCACCACCCCCACTGGGAGATTCTCACATGTAGCTTGGGTGGATGACCTTATTGGGTACAATAAGCTGATTTCCTAGCCCACAAACAAGCCACAGCCTACCATTTAAAAAACACAGACAATGAATAGCAGTAGACACTAGTTTCCAAAAATAGTTACAACAGACAGACGAGTTTATTCCCTGAAGAGTGTGCCAAGGCTTATCCTGGGCACTGGGGTATAAATATGCTACAGATATTTTCTGTATCCTTGAAGAACTAATAGCCTCATTTTCAATAATGGAACACACCCATGTATCCAGAACCCAGACCAAGAAACAGCGCAGCCAGCCCCCAGAAGCTCCCTGTGTCCCCTTCCAGTCACTATCCCCAAGAATAACCACTACTCTGACTTCTAACAGCATAGATTAGTAGCTCCTAATTTTATGCCTCAATAAACAGAGTCATATAGTATATTCTCTTTTCTGTTTGGCTTCTTCATGTCAATGCTGTAGTTAAGAGTTTACAGCTATAGTCCATATCATTTAGGGCAGCTATAGTCCATTCATTTTCATCCATGTATAGTATCCCATACTCGTAAGTTATACCTCAATTGATTCTACTGTGGATGGGCATTTGGGGCTATGAGTGTTCTAGTACACAGGTCTGGGGAACAGATGCACATTTTATCAGGTATACACCTAAGAATGGAATTTCTGGGCCATAGCTTAGGCATATGGACAACCTTAGATGATACAGTCAGTTTTCCAAAGTGGTTGCAATCATTTACACACTCACCTGAAAAGTGCAACAATCATTTATGTGCTCATCAGCAAAGTACAACTATCATTTGCACACTGGTTGGCAAAGTACAATAATCATTTATATACTCATCAGCAAAGTACATGAGTTCTAGTTGCTCCATGTCTTCATCAACAGTTGGTATTGTCAGTCTTTTTCATTTTAGCCATTCCAGTGAGTGTGTTAGAATGCTCTTTTGAAATAAATTTATTTAAGTTAAGATTTTGGCTCGGTGCTTGTAGCTTAAGCAGCTAAGGCACCAGCCACATACACCAGCCCAGGCCAACCAAACGACGACAAATATAATAAAAAAAAAAAAAAAAGCCGGGCATTGTGGTGGGTGCCTGTAGTCCCAGCTACTTGGGAGGCTGAGGCAAGAGAATCACTTAAGCCCAGGAGTAGGAGGTTGCTGTGAGCTGTGATGCCACAGCACTCTACCCAGGGCGATAGCTTGAGGCTCTGTCTCAAAAAAAGAAAGAAAGATTTTTTTTTTAATTGACATGTCTAATGGTTCCAATTAGATAGTCATGAACTCCTCCTTCACTGAATCAGGGGTGCATAGATATTCCAAAACCTTACAAGGGGTGTGTGTCCTGGGTGTTATTGATCTCAGACATTGTGTCTCTCTCCCTCTCTTGCCCACCCTTTGCTCTCAGCCTGGGCCTGACATGGCGAGACATGCAGCATCTGACTGTGCTCACCTCCAAACGGAACCAGCTTCATGATGAGGTCCATCAGTGGCGGAGGAATGGGGTCGGCCTGGAGTTTAATCACCTCTTTGGCTATGGCGTCCTTGATGCAGGCGCCATGGTGAAAATGGCCAAAGACTGGAAAACCGTGCCAGAGAGATTCCACTGTGTGGGAGGCTCCGTGCAGGACCCTGAGTAAGTGGGGGCAGGGCCCTTCTGATGTATGTCCACATGAGATGGCACCATGGCACTGGCAGCAATATCCCTGTCCATGGATAGGAGGACTAGTGGGACCCCTCTGTGGATCCCTGTCCCTGTCAAGGGAATGTGCTGGATTGGATCTGTGGCAACCGGCTTTCAGGCAGAGCTGTAGAGCCAGTTGCACAACTCCAGGGGCTGCTATTATAGAACGCAACTCTGTACCTCAGAGCCTCTACTTTGGGGTGTGAGCCTTCACAGTCTCAGGGGCCAATGCCATTATTTTTAAGTGCACAAATCAGCCAATGCAGCCAGTACCCAGGTCAGTGAACAGAACATGACTAATACCTGGATGGGTCCCCTGTGTCCCTGCCATCATCATCGCCCTCCTGGGGAACCATTCTTCTTATTTCTAACTCCCTGGCTGGTTCTGCCTATTCTATACTCAACAGAAGCAGAATTGTACACCATGTTCTCTTTATATTTAGATTCTTTTGCTCAGAATTGTGTTTGTGAGATTCGACCATGTTTAGTGTGTACTTGTGGTTTATTCTCACTGGGAGACTAGTCGATCCAATGTGGGACTATAGCACAATTTATTTGTTCATTCTGTTTGTGGGACAATGTAGGGACTTGGTTTTATTCTGACTGAGGTGGACTGCTGCCACATGGAAGGATCTGAGCGAGGGGTGCCCCACACAGAAACCACTGGGTTGTCCAAGGGCATCTAATTCCCTTCTGGCTTCCCCGTCATGACGAATGGGTTGATCAATAGGATTCTTCTCTATTTAATTTCTCTCTATCCTCACTGGCCCATCGGTAAGATGGAGATAGCAATTCTTATCATTATTATCATCAAGGTATTATTTATATGCCATAAATACAGAGAAATGAAGTGTATTATTTGAGTTTTCATAAATCCCAAACAAGTGATGGACTATTCCATCAACCCAGAAAGATTCCTGGTGGCCCCTCCAGTTTGTGCACATACCCTGTCGTAGACAACTGCTGCTTTTATCCCTGTCACCATAGATTAGTTTTGCCAGTTCTTGGACTTTAAGTAGAATCACAGGATATGGCTTTAGCATCTGGTTTCTTTCACTCCACATCAGTCTGTGAGATGCACCAAGTTATGTCGTGCAGAGTAGCTACTTCATTCTCACTGCTGTAAGACTCACTGTGAGAATACACCGCTGTGGCTCATGTCGTTTAAACAGTGATGAGACCTCCCTGCCCCAGCCTGATTTCACTGAGTCTGACCTGAGCCCTTCTCAGATTCTACCCCACTCTGCATTTTCCTCCAGTCCTAGGCTCTCTGCAGCTTTGTAGTGAGCTACCCAGACCAGAATTCACATCCTGACTGCCCCAGACTTCTGCCCTCTCTGACCCGCTAGTTTAGCAATCCTCAACCTTTCTACCCCGTCCTCCTTTGTCAGGAAGGCGAAATCTCTGGACCCCATCTCAGGATAACATTTTTTAAAATTCATTAGATAAAATACATAGGATAATGAAGGAGGCTAATTATACATATATTAAAAACCAGTTACAAAAATGTTTTTAGAAACAACCTTATGTTCCGTAACATGTGCCCTTTCTATCAACACATTAAGTGAAAAGCTCTAGTGGTAAATCTAATGGCTGAGACCATCTCAGAGCAGTGATGGCAACAAGATGCTACTGCAGGACACCAGGAATAAGAGTAATGGGATCTGAAAATCGCCAGGCTCGTTGACGACAAAGTCTGAGGAAGCACTAATGCCGCTCTGCTTTTTTGTCATCCATTCATAATCGGAAGAGAAGCTAAGTTTCCATTATGGGTTAGTGAAAATTGACATGTAGAGTTAACGATGAATTCTTTCCTAATGGACTCAAAATAAGAGGCTCTTCCCTCTTTCCTCACCAGTAAAGTGGAGGGAATGTCTCTGGAGATTTTGGCAACACTCAAGAGTAAAGTTGGCACACAGCAGGCACGTAATAAATGAACTTTGCCTCTCCCTCTCATCTGTAAATTTAAACACTCCTAGTTCACACTTGTGAAAAAAAGACTCATAATGATCACCTAGAATTTCTAATGAAATAATTACCTGATTCTCAAATTGCCAAGGCTGCACCCTGGGGTGCACCTGCTCCCACAGGCCACCATCCTCCCGTGGTCGAGTGTCCTGCCACTGGCCAGCTTCTATGGGTAAGCATTGTCCCATAGGTGTTATCCATGGGCCAGCGTCTATCCTGGGCATGCATCCTTCTATGAATGAGCTGTTCCCACTGGTGACCATCCCTGTTGTGTCCTTACTCACTGAACTCCTAGCAGGTGGATGACTACAAGGCTGCGTGGTTTTTCCCATGAACCAGGCCATGATTTCACAAGGCCTTCATCAGCTCCTACTGCGCCCTCAGGCCCTCCATTAGGCCCTGTATTAGAGCAGCCCTGCTATGAGCTCTGCAGTGTCATCAGAGATGAGGACAGGCTAGGAAAAAGCCACCCAACTACTCAGCAGCTGAACTGGGACTTGAGCCCAGACTCTCTGACTCCTCACAGGTGGCATCTCAATGACCCACTGGAGGAGAGTAGGCCTGGGGGACTTTTTCCAATAAACACTCCTCTGGAGACTCTGAAACACCCACCTAGTAGGTGGACCCCATCCCATAACTGCTGTTCTGGAGGCCCCGTCATTACTGAAGTCTGTGATATCTCTTGGGAGTGACTGAACAGAGAGATGAGACTGGGGGATTTAAGGCTACACTCTGCTCACCATTACTAATCATACCCAAAGTCAATGTTAAGTGGCCACCTATGACTCTGTTTCCCTTGTTAGAGTTCAGAGTAATTTCTCCCTTTTTGAGAGAGAGAGTCTCACTCTTTTGTCCAGGCTACAGTGTTTTGGCATTAGCCTAGCTCACAGCAACCTCAGACTCCTGGGTTCACGTGATCCTTCTGTCTCAGCCTCCCAAGTAGCTGAGACTACAGGTGCCACCACCACACCTGGATAAGTTTTCTATTTTTAGTAAAGACAGGGTCTGGCTTTTGCTCAAGCTGATCTCGAACTCTTGAACTCAAGTGATCCTCTCGCCTTGGCTTCCCAGAGTGCTAGGATGACAGGTGTGAGCTAACTTGCCTGGCCCAGAATAATTTCTTGAGAAATCTGAAGGACAGAGACTTTCTGTGGCAGTGAAAATGTTCTATGCCCTCACTACCCATCCAATACAGCAGCTTGTGGCTACTGAGTACTAGAAATGCGATGATTGATGATTGTGACCGAGGGACTAAAGTTTCCATTTGATTTCATTCTAATTAATTTAAATGCAAACAGCCACATGTGGCTAGTGGTGGCCCCAAGGGTGGCCCTGGGAGGACTACTACTGAGTCTAAATATTAATTATTTAATTAATAATTAAATTATTAATTTAAATATAAACAGCCACATGTGGCTAGTGGCATCAAAGTACCAGCAGCCCAGAGCCCAAACATGACCCTGGTTGGCTACTGAGAACTGCTACTAAGAAATTTTTTTGGCTGGTGAATGGTCTAGCACCTTCCTCCCACCGTCTCATTTCATCCCAGGAGGTGGGCATTCCAGTCCCAATTTGCAGGTGAGGGAGCAGGCTTAGAAAGACAAAGTCAGTGGCCCTGCTTCACAGACCCAATGACTCCGCTGTCCTCCCCACTCTACCAGGCCCTGGAGCCTGTAAGTTCATCCCTCAATGCAAAGAGGGAAAGACATACAGGGTCAGCACCTTTGCAGACACTCTGCCAGCGGTGGAGTGTCACATCGTCCCTTACAGTCAGTGCAATTAGAGCAACATCCACACTTAACTGCACGGCTACACTCACAACTCACGATTAACAGAATGGTGCCAGCGGTGCTGTATTTAGGGAAACATTAGCGTGGAACACACTGTGGCCCCCTGAGTCAAGGTATATGTCGATAAAAGACCTTTTCTGAGATAGCACCGGACACGGAGCACTGTGGGAAGGAAGGAGAAGAAGAGATGGAGGACAGATGCTGAGATGAACCACAGTTTATCTCCGCGTGTTTGAATATGCTTAGCATTCTGTCATAATCCACATAAATGTGGAATCTGGAGCCAGAGGGAGCCCTGGAAATAAGGCTGTCCACGTCCATCTTTTTAGGAATCAGAGGCCTAGAGATGTGATCATCCCAACTTCTCACAGCTAACAAAGGGCCTTATCTAAGATCAGTGCAATGTTTCAATGAAAGGGAACCAGAGAGCTAATCAACACGAACTCAGGTGAGCCCTCTACAAGAAAAGGGGCTTGTCTGCCATGTTCACTGGTGTGTCCCCAGCACCTAGAACAGTGCCAGCCACTTAGTAGACACATGAGAAGTACTTTTTGAATGAATGAGAGAATGAATGAATGTATTTAGCCAGTGTCACCTGAGCACCAGAAAAACGTCTAAATGATGGCAACAGGACCAGCAAACTCGGAGCAGGGGCCCCACCCTGGTTGGAAGAGCTCTGTGTCGCTCAGTGCCCACAGGTCTCTCGTCCACCCCCACACCTGAACTTATTCTCAGATGCAGTGTCAGGTCTAGGGCAGGTACATTGGTTGGCGAGCTCAGAGACTGGACAAGGGGTGGTGGGCAACACTAGGGCTGGCTGTGCAGCTCAGCAGAGGCAGCCCAATCACCATGAAGCACGCTCTCAGGGGGCTGGGGGAGAGGGATCAGCAGCCTTGGCAACTCCCAAGTCCTAGGAGATGCACATCCACACTGCAGGCAGTGAGTGGCAATTGTCAGGTTGTGGGTTTCCTCAGCCTTAATCTTCCTAGAGAAAGAGTCGATTTGAAAAGCAATTTTCTAAAGACACTTGATCAAGAGAGATAGTAAAGGGTGCTCAGCTAAAATCAGAAGGAAAAATACAACTGGCTATGAGCAGCTGCTCCAGCCACGCAGGGTGAGCAGAGCCAACTGGGCCTGCCACTCAGCCAGCACAGAATGAGCCCCCCAGCCCTCTGCACCCCAGACTGCTCAATTCTCTCCTTTAAGGCTGTGGCAAAACGTGTGATCCCACTCCAAATTGTAAGTGAACTGGGAAATAAAGGTCAAACCCTGGTATGAGCACCAGAAGCAGCAAGGCAGCAAATGGTGAAGGTGCTGTCCGGAGCCTGCTGGGTCACGGTGGACCAGCCCTCCCAAGCTGCCATGTCTTCCTGTGTGAGTTCATGCCCACCTGGCTTGGTTCCACCTCACAACAGCCTCCTCCTTCATATTCTCACATGACTGCCACATAAGCAGGCATTTTAGGCACTCAAGAAAGAGTGGCTATTATTATTGCTACTGTGATTGTTCCGGCAAAACAATCACAGCTTCAAAACTATCATATAGTTGAGGATTCATAACACAACAGCATCCCCCAGAGTGTCCCAGAAAGCAACACCTATTTCTAGGCACCGGGCAATTGAATCCTTGCAATGATATGCAATAAAATTAAGTCACAATCTGCCCCAAGCCCCTAAGTGTGCCTTTTATAGACTTTTGTGTATCATTTCTAAAAGGTCAGAGAGGAGCTCTTAAACCTCTTGGTTCACGCCTCCTTTTCTGCAGCCAGTAAGTTCCAGAACATGGCCTGGGAACTAACACCGTGTAACTATTTAAAGCAGTATTTATCAAACTTTTTTATCTCACAGCACACTTGAACCTATAGTTAAACTTGTGCATCATACTTAAGTCACGTTGACCAAAAAGAAAAAGAATATACTTACTGTGCTTTGAACTTCTTTTGAAAATAATTTAATGATCTTTAAAACTTTTGAGGCACACCTAAGATCCTCTCACGGCACACCAGTTGAAAATTCACGGATTTAAAGAATCTCTGCAGAGCCTCATCTGGTTCCACAGCCATCTCCTGTTTTAACCTTCTTATAAATTGTCTATCCCTACGCACGTATCTCCTTTTCCCTTTAAAATAAGAATAAGATCATTTTTCTTCTGGTAACAGCAATATATGGTCACTGCACTGCAGGAAAATCAGAAAATACAAGTGAGCAAACCTGGAAGTCAGGGAGACACTCCTGGCGAGTATCATCCCTGTGCTGCTCCCCCAGATGCTCTGACCTCCACCAAAAACCCTACCTGTGAGAGGAGGGAATGGTGGTCTCCTTTCCCGCCATACTTACAGCCTCTGGAATTCATTCAGGCTTTTAATTTAATTTCTTAGTAACTTAACATTCCCAGAAGAGTCCAGTCATGTGTGTCCTCTCTCAGGGGACCCAGTGCCGCAGAGTGAGCAGTTCACAGGCAGGGCAGGGATCTGGGGAGTGATCCTAGTGGGCAGTTCCTGCACTGCCCTAAGCAAACCAGACTCCCCAGGGTACTTGTCACAGCCTGTGACCTCTGCACGCTCCTCAGTGTCCAAGGCTTCTAGAACCTTTGAGATACTTAACACTAGTGTGTCTGTTCCCATCAGCTTCCCAAGGCACAGGGTAAAATTCTAATTTTTTTTTTTTTCCTTTGGCAGTTTTTGGCCAGGGTTGGGTTTGAACCCACCACCTCCAGTATATGGGGTCGGCACCCTACTCCTTGAGCCATAGGTGCCGCCCTAAAATTCTAATATTTTTCTCAGCCTCCTGCCATCTCTCCCTTTATACCCTGTCTCACAAATGCACAGCGCTCATTAAGTGAGACTGGGTAATGCATGGCCCAAGTCCTGGTCTCCTCTGTCAGCCTTGCTGTCACTGCCCCTCCCTTTGTCTTTGCCTCTCATGCCCCCTACTCCCTATGGGGTTCCTGGGACAGCAGCTGCGGAGACTAACACAGACGGGCAGGATTCACCAGCCCTCCTGGTTCTGCCAATGAGGCTATTTCTTAGGATTGAATCTCAGACTCTTCTGCTATATCCTGAACATCAAAGTGGTCCCCAGCCCAGGTCTAGCTCCCTGAATGCCCCCAAGGTTCTCTGCATGGTGTTCTTATCAGAGTCTCCAGGGCTTTTCAAAGAAAGCAAAAGAAGTGAGAATGACTGAATTCACAAGATGGAATGAGACCCATGTTCTGTACACAGCGGCACAAATCTGGTCACCAGGCCTCAGAGGCTGTGCAGAGGGATGTGGCTATTCATTTCTAATCGCTCTTCTCTAGAGACAGATAACAACTGTTTTAGTTGGTTTGCCTGGAAGCAGAGCTTGAGAAGGGGGCTTCAGTACAAGTTTTATAGAGGGGAAGCTTTTCAGGAGGAATTGGAAGGAAGGGAGGGATTCAGTATGGGCAGGAAGGAACCAGGAGACAAGGAAGGCTGAATCCTTAAGGTCACGGTGACCATTGTGTTGGACAAATTATCAGTGAGTGGTGTTTTATAATATCTAGAATGCTTATATTCAAAGTAACAGCCTCCAGTCATCAGCTTGTAAATTTCTTTCTTGAATGTTTCAAGAAGGCCTGAACTACAGGCTTGGAATTCCATAGTCCAGGCCTGCACAGTCAACACAGAACTCAGGTCTGTTCTGTTGCCAGTCTCTGTTATCCCCATCTCAAAGGGTTTTGAAGCCCCTCTGGCTCAACTCCAGAAGGGAAGCCCCCTTTCTATACCTGCCCGCCTCTCTGCATGGAAGATCCAGAGGAGAATGTGCCGTTTCTCTCAGTCCCTGAGGTTCTGGACATTCCAGAGTGTATATACATATATGTAATATTTTATCTTCACAGCAACTCTCCAAGGTAAGAATAGAATTAATAGCCCATTGTACAGGTAAGGAAAATGAGGCTCAGGCTGTTCAAATGCTTGCCCACAGCTAGACCCATGTAGTCTAAGATTCACACAGCTGTCCATCTGTGGGCTGTAGCCCAAGCAATTCTTAAATCATTTATCAACTCACCTATTATGTTTCTGACCCTGTTCTGAATAAACAGCATCTTCTTTGAGAGATCCACTCATGACCCTCCATGCCCTGACCTCCAAGGTTGGCTTCATACCTGCTCTTCTCCAAATTGGGTGATTTCCCCAGAGCCTGGAAACAGAAAGACCACTACTCCCACCCACCACTAGGTCTTCACAAGAATGGGTGCCCCATACATCACTCAGCATGTGTTGCCCAGGCAGGTCACACAGCACTCCTTGTAAATTTCCTGGGAAGAGTATCGCCTTTATGAATGAGCTACAGCATAATCTTCACCAAGCTAGGTCATGACCTTGGTTATGCCAAGGGCAATGCAGAACCAAGCTGGGTGTGCAGCCAGTATCTTTTTGTAGGTGTCCTCTACAAGATGTGTCTTTAAAAATAACCACCAGTTGGCTCAGAGCCTGTAGCTCAGTGGCTAGGGCACCAGCCACATACAGAAGAGCTGGTGGGTTCGAACCCAGCCCAGGCCTGCCAAACAATGATAAATACAACCAAAAAATAGCTAGGCGTTGTAGTGGGCGCCTGTAGTCCCAGCTACTCGGGAGGCTGAGGCGAGAGAATCACTTAAGCCCAAGAGTTTGAGGTTGCTGTGAGTTGTGATGCCACAGCACTCTACCCAGGGAGACTAAGGAGACTAAGTCTCAAAAAACCAAACAAAAAACAAAAAAAAAACCCCACCAGTTTATGCTCCAAAATAAAAACCATGTGGGGCTGGGATATTAGCACAGGCAATGGGCCAGGAAAGGGAGCCTGGTACCGTGTGCTAGGAATTATGCTTTGGTGTCTTCATTCATGGTTTTAGTTAACCTCACAAGAACCCCCAACAATAACAGTGAAATGTCAGGTACTTAAATGCTTTGCCCAAGCTCTCCTAAGCAGTAAGCAAAGGGGCAGAATTCTCATCCAAATAGGTTTCCCAAAGTCAGTAGTCTTTCCATTATACCCTGAAATCCTCAAATGCAGTTTCTTTCATTACCTTTCTGGTGGAAGAACCTCTGAGCTACTCCTGTTGGCAGAAGAAAGTCTCCAGAAAGGAAATTGTAAGGAGAGATGGCTTAGGGGATGCTTAGGAGCAGCCCCCATGGGCCCCAACTCTGTGGCCAAAGAAACCCCCAAAGTCCCCTGACCCTTCATAGGACTGTCTTCCACTTGAATGACTTTACCCAATGTCAACTCTTTTAAACTGTAGTAATAAAAATCACATTAGCAATCACTTTCATTTACCAAGTACCTAGGACTTTAAAAGAAAGTCATTATGAGGTCCTGCCCCAAAAGTCCACCCCGAAACAGGACTTCAGTGCTGACAGTCTTTTGGGAGATGGTCCCAGGACATACAAATGAGGAAGTGTGGGACGGGGAAGTGGGGGAAAGCCAATAAAGGAGGTCCTGACAAGCCAGGGGTCACTGGGGCAGCTGGGCTCAATCCTCCTGTGGGGACACTGAATTGTGCCCTGGAGAAAAAGGGACACCAAGGCATATTTATCTACTGCATCCTATCAATCAGTGGTGGGGCGTTGCCCCTGAAAGATTAAATCCTTTGGATTCCCCTGCACACAGTTGGAGCAAGCCCCCATGATGCCAGGGTGGGGAATAAGGTGGGGGATGGGGGGAGGTGGCAGCTCCAGAGAAAAGCTGAGAGATGCTGGAGCCTATGGTCGGAGGTGGTCAGGGTAGGGGCTGCAGCTGCAGAACTCAGGACACTCAGTGTGGGGGGCTGGCACAGGTCTGTCGGATTATCCCCAAAGCCCCTGCTCTTTCTGCTACCCAAAGCTGCTTTCAAAACCCCTCGTGGGACGCAGCCCCCATCGCTTACCCTAACTCCTCCTCCCTGTGCCCTCAGGAAAATACCACCCACTGGCAAGTTGGTGCTGACCCTCACGACGGACGCATGCGAGGGCAAGGAAAACTTCGTCCGCTACCTGGAGCACGTCCAAGCCGTCATCACAGTCAACGCCACCAGGAGGGGGGACCTGAACATCAACATGACCTCCCCCATGGGCACCAAGTCCATCCTGCTGAGCCGGCGTCCACGGGATGACGACTCCAAGGTGGGCTTTGACAAGTGGCCTTTCATGACCACCCACACGTGGGGGGAAGACGCCCGGGGAACCTGGACCCTGGAGCTGGGCTTTGTGGGCAGCGCCCCCCAGAAGGGCGTGCTGAAGGAGTGGACCCTGATGCTGCACGGCACGCAGAGCGCCCCCTACATCGACCAGGTGGTGAGGGATTACCAGTCCAAGCTGGCCATGTCCAAGAAGGAAGAGCTGGAGGAGGAGCTGGACGAGGCCGTGGAGAGAAGCCTGAAAAGCATCCTGAGAGAGAACTAGCGCCGCGCCCCGCCCCGCCGCCCTCCTCCCGCCTCTGCCTCCGTCCTCCTCCACGTTCCTGGCAGGCACCTAGCGATTACTGTCACCCACGC